TAAAAATCATCATCGGCAGTTAGCAATACACAAATAGGGAACACTGCAAATTATTACTAATATGAATTAAAAGTGTGAATTTCGGTTAGTAAGTTTTGTTGGAAAATGTACCAGTTGAACATGTGCTTCTAGAATGGTTGTTCTTGTTTGTTTTTGATGTTTTGCATTTGATGTTGTTGGCTATTTCATGTCATTTGCTAAGGTTACACTCTTCCAAAGTAACAAACGAGCAACAACAATGGTGCCAAAGTCCAGCCTTTGATGTGGTTCATGTTACAGGTAAGATCTGTGACTAAAGAGCCTGCTCCCCACTGCCACAGCGACACGCGAATAGAAGTCACTGCACTGTATTACTCATATGATTCTAGCTATTTCATTTAAAAAAACATAAAGGATGGATTAAGCAATAGACCAGGAATCTTAGCTAATGTTGTGCCAAAAATGTTGATAGAATCTTGCCAACTTTCCTCATTAACTTATGGATAATTATCCAGGGTGTATTCAGTCCAAGGTATTAAAAATAGCATTTTAAGAAAGTCACTGTGGATTTATGAAAGGCAAATCTTTTCTGATTTCTTGGAGCATGCAACAAAGGCTTCTGACAGAATAAAAATAGATACATTTTATTCATGTAGATTCATATCCAGTATACTGTAGTTCCACATAATAGACTAATCCGAAAATTAAATAGAGCTTGTAATCCGTGAAATACCACAGGGTTTGTGTTGGGATCATTGTTTACTCTACATAAATGACATAACAAATTGGTCACGTCTGCATATGAAACAGACTCATTCCCAGCAGAATGCATGGCTGAAGACTTACAAGATGAAACGTTTACAGAGCAGTTAAACCTGAACGGGGATGCTAATCCGTTTGGGAAGTCGGAACGCACGCTGCTGCTGCTGCCTCGGCTACAGTGGGATGTGGACAGGAGGGTAGCTGAGGTATGCCTCTATGTGCATGTTATGGAACAGAACTCAAATGCAGTCACACTGGGGCCATTAAATATATCATTAATGCCTGCCCTAGAACACTGTGTACCAATGATCACCTTGCATTTCAAAAAGAATATTGTTTGTGTAGTGAGTTGAGCTCCTAAAAACAACAGACTAGAAGTGCCAAATTACTCTCTGTTACCAGGTTTGAATAGACAGAGCCAAATGTATTGTATGATTCTACCTGAAGCTTCCTATCACACATCCGAAGAGCTGAATGAAGGTCTGCTGTAAAGAGCAGTATTCTATGACATTTCATAAGACACTGTAAGATACTGTATCTGTCATTTTTTTGTGTGATAATGTTCTAATATTTTGGCTTAAGCTCTGCATTTTCATGATTTATTTTGCTGATTATTATTGCCTGGGTTCTTAACCACAAATTTTGCCGACATACAGTTCACATACTGTACAGTTGAGAAAGTCGGGTGAACCAATCCCTGGAGCAGCTGAGGTTAAGGTCCTTGCTCAAGGGCCCAACAGTATATTCACTCCGCCAATCACAGGATTTGACCCAGCAACCTAGTGATTACAGACATTACAGCCTTGAAAATAGCTGAGAATCATAACAGAACTAAGCACTTGAAAGTAATGGAAATGGAAGGATGAGCAAATCCTCTAAACCTTTAAAAGTTGGTTGAGGATGGCTTGGTGCAGGTGTACAAAATCTTAAGGAGGAAGTCATTCACCATAACCCCAACTCCACTATCAGTTCACACTTACATGGGCACACTAGTTAAGAAATTAGTTATTAACCAATTTGGATGAGAAAAGATATATATTATTTCTTACTCCAAAGGCTAAGTTTGGCCTTCCTTATAGCATAGAAGTGCCAGAGATTTTGCTCAAATTTCACCCTGGATTTATTTTTAATTTTCTTTATTTACAAGTTTATGTTCATTAAAGAGAGCTGATGAAAAAACAATAAAGTTTTTCCTAGTTTTAAGCTCAAGTCCAAGATAAACCCCAACCTCTACAGGATTACACACAGAAACAAACAGAGAAGTATGACTGGTATTGGGATGAAATCTTTCACCTGTCTTCAGAGTCAATCAGCATCCGCTCAGTTTGCACTCAGTGAGATTCCCTTTAAAGGACTGAGTGCATTGAAACGCTGAAACATTTGAGATGTGAAAAACCTTGTGGACCGTGTACAAACACAAGGCTGCAAATACTTCAAATTCATCCATCCATCCATCTTCCATAAGCACTTATCAGGCTCGTAGCCAGAAATACATTTTGCGGGGGGGTGTAGTAACCCTTGGTATATTTTGCCAACTGGAGGAGACGACCCTGCTGGAGAATTCACCAATGGAGGGACTTAACCAAATTTCAAGGGGGGGGGGGGGGGGGNGGGGGGGGGGGGTTCAGACCTGTAATTTTACTACTTGGCTATGTTCCTGGCACTTATCCAGTTCAGGATATTCTACAAATCCGGCTGTCATTAAACAAATTGGCCATAGGGTTTTCTGCAGCAACAGCAAAGTCTGAGGTACAGAAAAACCAAGGTATACATGAATACAGATTTGAGGTTATGTAACTCAGCAGGAAACCCTCCTTTATGAATACATTAGTCCTGTTCTGTGAGTTCCAGGTGGACTTTAACACCGTAGTTATTGGTTGTTACCTACTTCACCTAAGCGGGTTTCTTGTCTACTGCCTTCACTTACAGGCTGTATTTTACTACTGTGCTACTGTTCTTAACACTGTCTGGGTGCAAACGGGGAGATTAGGAGAACCAATTCTGTCTGTGCTGTTCTCATTCACTATGCTATCTCTGCTTTCACGCACCGAGAATGGCTCCAAAAAGAAGAGAATCATTTAACGTATTTCACTTGTCTTATTCAGTTTGCCATATATCATTCCATATTGGCAATTTATCATGCGTAATTACTGCAGTTATATACCTTGCAAAAATATTCGTATCCATGTAATAGTATACATACATATAAGTTTCATTTTCTTCCAAAAACCGAACGCTTTAACTTAAAGTGGCTACTGGAAACGATCTTTTTTGCCCACAGTAATTATATTTTAAACGAAACAAAATATCTGCTGACTGCGGCGTTAAGTCACAAGAACTCATTATTTCATGGAAGCAACTTTGGCTGCAGTTTCATTGTCCCTGCCAGCTTCTCACGTAGCTATGGTGAAGTTTTTGACATTAAATTTAAATGCTAATTTAACCTCTGAGACGTTATTTGGTAATAAGCCTATAAATTCCATATCATTCATCCAATTCACATCAGTGTTCTGACAGGCTATCGATATGGTTGTGGATAGGTTACTGAAGTAGATGTCTGAGGTAATACACATATAAAAATATAAAAAACGAAGACCTCGAGATTAAAAGCACTGCAGTGGCGTTCGTTTAACCATGTGTGTTGTTTTGAAACATCATTGTCATTTGGTTTCTTTAAAACAATGGACACTATTGCGCAAGATATCGTGACAACCTGCCATTTGCGGCACATGACAATACCATGCACGAATAGGAAGAATCACTTGTTGTTAAATTAAAAAAAAAATAATAATAATAATAAAAACTTCCAAAATCTATTTTGAGGTTTCCAGAAAGTACTCGGATGGATGTTCATATGTATGACCCATCATTTTTACGATCGATTTGAAATCGGGATTTTGATTTTGGAATAAGTGCCAACATTTTGAAACAGTATAACGGATTTTAACAAGAAAAGAAACGAAAATTAACTTGTCCAGTGAATTCGGTGCATGATTTTCATTACATAAAACGTTTTTAATGCAATCTTACGATGCACCTTTTTGGAACTGTCCATGGTGCATGCTCGGTAACCATGTGTGTTAATCAAAACATGAATTAATTTGCTAACTGTGAATAAATGCATAATTTATTTGGTCATTTACGGGTCTTTCGTTTTCTCTTAATTACCGAAAGCCACTTTTGAAGGAGGGGGAATTGCCAAGCTGCGTATTTAAGCATTTTGATTTCGCCGTGCCTCGCATACCTGCATAATATCTGAACTACAGATTGCCTAACTACAAAGCCCCCGATCGCCGTATTTACAGACGCCGTGGCGCTCAGATATGTTCACCTCCTTGTGCCGGAAAAAAAGTCTCACGTCCTGCGGCTTTTGTTCTGTGAATTTAAGACCCTTGTGTCTTTGCAGGGGCTGCTTCCGCCTTCGCGTGACTGGCCGGACTGCTTTCTCACGCAAACTCAAGGACTAGAGACACGCACCTCTCCGGTGCTCCACTGACGGATGACATAGTGAAAGCTATGCAACTTTTCCGATGAAACAAACTCGTCGATTCAAACACCAGTCATTCACTTTGATCTGGCGGTTTTAAATTGACAAAGAACAAAAGCACTTTGCGGATTTTGTGTGTCGGCACCGGGGTTCTCTAGTCTACTAGAGTAGTCACTGATCTTCTAAACGTAGTCTGCGCACAAAATAAAGTAGAAACGCTTCACAAAAAGTTGAAATTGTGAAACTTGTCTTTGAAAGTAGACCCAATAATATATTCATAAATAAAATACTGAAATAAAAATTGTAGTATTAAAGACGAAAAATTAGCTTACATGCAAAACATACCGACTATTCTATTTAGTTTTATTATTGCGTTATGCGGTTAGGATAAAGCACCTATAATTATAATTACATCCCATAATCCACGCAACTTCTAATGCTTATCGAATACCCAGTTGCGGGAATCTAAGACCTATCTCAGGCAGCAGATACGTCATTTAAATTAAAGATATAACTTATGTCAAATCTGTACTTAGCTAAAACATTCTTAAGGTTCAAACGATGCGCAAATTATTTGACCTCTTACATTTATCGACGCGTAAAAACCATTATACAGCATACATAATAATTAAAAAATTATGGTATATTTAATATATTCCCCAAATTCAGTTGGGTTGAAAAAATAATTACTTTAAATATAATTAAACAACGACTGTTTGGTTTTATTGTTGAATATTGCTCATAGATAAAACAAAATTTCATTCACACTTTATCCTCATAATCAGCATTTATTAAAAACCAAGTAAACATTTCAAAATTGTTAATTCTAAATGAATACATTCTTAGTTTAATAAAAGTCAATCTAATATCAAATTAGCATTGATGTGTGGCGTATTGTTACATTTTTCAAATCATGAAATCTTTTTCTTTGAAAAACCCTCCCTTACAGCCTCCCTACACTGTATGGGCAAATTTATTAATTTAGATTACTCAGATTTTAGTATTTGTTGCTTATTTGTTAACCCGTCAGAATGCAATATTTCCACACGTTACATATAATTTGAAACGTGGCCGAGATAGGCCTCTATTCCGCACAACCTTCCCTATTAGTCTTTTCTCCCTTTCGGTTATTTTTTTCTTTGCTTTTTTCTACTGAAAAGAAAACGATGAAATGAATTCAGCTGGTCTTTCACCCCTGCGGTGCTGACAGAGTAACCCCCCCAGCATCCTTAACCTGGGGTTGGGCAAATGGGGGATGGGGTTCACAATCCGCAAAGCTCTCACGAACATGGGCAGATATTTAACCCCTAGCGTCGACCGGGCAAGGGCGTGTTACGTTGTCATTAAAGTTTAACTTAGACATCTGACTTAAAGTTATTATTTTGTATATATTATTAGATGGTCTTCAGATTAGAGGAGCGATACTTGCCATATTTTTTTTTAGAAATTTGCGCTTTCCTTGAACCTTCTCCGTTTGTAAGTGGCTACAGCTGATTGCATTCAGCAATTAAATTATAGAGGCCTTTTGGGATTGCGTTAAGTAAGCTCCTTACTGGTTATTTTATTACCGTATATTTATTTTATGTGTTTACTTTTGGGTGCATTTGCAAGTTCGATTTCTCAGTCTGACAACCAACAGAATCAGTCGCTTTCCCAATAATGGTAAACAGCCCAGTGAACAGACTGAAACTGTATTAAATGCAAAAAGGAAGCCCATTTCAACTTGTTCAAAATACTTCAGATGTATTAGTTGTAAGACAACGCTTTATTGGTTAACATGATGAGTGAGATTTATCAAGCTGTCAGAAGCCAGTCCGCTGATTACAAAACACTCCGGGCTAAAAGTTCTCCCTCCCGCATACACACCTTTGCACGCTATCGTCATCTTTGCACGAAACCAGTATTTGTCAAGGGGATCGCGTATTTGAAAAGGCGATTTATATTAATTTTGTTAATTGACATCGAATAGTAGTGAATTGCTTATGTACTTTCTCTAATAAAATATTAGGCCTACATTAATCCACAGTGATTTAGTTGACCAGTTAACGTATACATGACGGACTAGCTTCCTCTGATCTAAGCAAAGCTTTAATTTTTAATTTATATGGCTTGTTCTTTTAAATATGTGATATAGTACGCTACTCGAGGAGTTACGCAAGTTTAATCACGCTTAAACACTTATTGAAGTAGTCCTAAATCGATTAACTGTAAATATAATTACAAATGAGTGGAGTTTATAATGACTTTCATGACTGTAAATGAAAAAAAGAACGTTATTGTTGATATTGTTAATAGGGGTTGGCAGTAGCCTGTATCTTTGGATTTGGTTTAATGTCAAAGAAAGTCTGTGAACCTCGTTCTGCTGGAGTCTGCTGGGAAGAAAAGAGAGCGGAGGTAAGGAAAACTCTCCTTCTGAGACATTTTTTTTCACTTTGCATGCAGTTAATGCCGTTTGTTGTGCATTAGGCCTAAATTTTGTAGCTGTGGTAAATATTCCTATATGTCAAAGAAATTAACATCAAATATGAATGTTATGAGGTCTATTCTTATAAGGTTTAATATTTTTGGAAAATACGACTTAAAAATAAGGACACTGTATTATTTTACTTTTAGCGCATATACAAGCATGATTAACATGTAGCCTATTATTATTTTACTCACTTAAAGAGAGTAATCAAATATCAAGACGTAATACCGCACAATCTGTCAACACTGCGTGCCTGAACACGAATCCAAATTTAATACGTTCCCCGTTTTCAGAAGTATTGCTATAATCATTTGCCGTGCGAGGATGTAATATCTTCCTGAACTGCCGCCTCCGCCGTAGTTTAGTTGTTTTAATTACCCCTCTAGTTTACACTATATTCAACTGCGCAGCCGATCTCTGAATTCTAGCAGCGAGGACTTGCAGTCTCGACGTCACGCGGGTTATGGCCAATAGAATTTAGGAGCGCTCTATAAAGCAGAAGTCCGTCTTATCACCAATTCACCAGTCTAACAGAAAACTAAAAGGATTAGGGATTAACAAACTTCCTTAGACTTCGAGACGAATTTTAACATCGCATTTGAACTGCTGATATCGATATTCAAAGGTAATAATTTTTTAAAACTTGCTACACTAAACAGCTCTGGAAATCAGTAAAAAATGACAGTGCTATAGGTCATAGTTACGGCGCTGGTGTATAATATTGCCAGTTTTGTAGAACTTTTTATTGGATTGCAAAACTTTATATATTCAAAAATGCAATTGAAATACTTTGACGTAGCTGTAGTGTTTATTTAAATTCTTTCCATTTCATTTTGTAAGGTGAAATCGTAATTGGACTGGAACTATCTAAATGCAAAATGTTTCCAAATTAGTTAATCAGGCATGCGAAGTAACTGAGGGAGCTCTCTTAGCTGAAAAAGCATGCTCTAACCGTAGTGAACGGGGAGCGAGGTGTGTAAAGACACATTACAGCATGCGCAGAGCCATAAACTGGAAAAACTACCAGCTGCTTTTCGAAAAGCAAGTTAGTAATATACGGCCTCACAGACTCCTCCCTGTGTAGTGTTTTTTTATACTGGGGTGCGTTCTATGGTTCATCCAGCTCTTTCTAAATCCTCTGCTTTTTTTGCTCCCTGTAAGATGCAATGTATTCTGCATTTTTCACTCCACTTCAGAGGTACCCGTGTGTGTGTGTGTGTGTGTGTATGTATGTATATATATATATATATATATATACACACACACACACACACACACAGGTACCTCTGAAGTGGAATGAAAAATGCAGAGATATATATATATATATATATATATATATACAAAAAGCATATTTTGCATGACATATTTTTTTTTCATTCTATTTCTCTAGGTTTGGATCTTCTGAAGGAATAAGTCACTCCTGTCAGAATGGGGCTAATGTTTCTCCCACTACTCGGCTCGGTCTCGGTGTCTGAGAGCCTTCTCGCCATGGTGACAGTGTGCGTGGTGTACCTACTGCTACAAGTCCTGCGCAAGGACGTCCCCAAGGGCCTCCAACGGCTTCCGGGCCCAAAACCGTTGCCAATAATTGGGAATGTGCTAGAACTGGGAAGAAATCCCCACCTGAGTCTGACAGCGATGAGTGAGCGTTATGGCCCCATCTTCCAGGTCCAGATTGGTATGCGCCCCGTAGTGGTGATGGGTGGGAGCGATGTAATCCGGCAGGCACTCATCAAGCAAGGGGAGGAGTTTTCTGGCCGACCAGACCTATACAGCTTCCAATTCATCAACAACGGGGAAAGCCTAGCCTTCAGCACAGACCTGGCTGGGGTGTGGCGTACCCGGCGTAAGCTGGCAATGAACGCCCTCCGCTCCTTTTCCAACATTGCGAGCACCACCTCCAACTACTCCTGCAAGCTAGAGGAGCACATCTCCAGGGAGGCCGAGTACCTGATCCGGCGGATCAGCTCCGTCATGGAGGCCAGCGGCAGCTTTGACCCCTTCCGTCACATCGTAGTGTCCGTCACCAATGTCATCTGTGGAATGTGCTTTGGTCGCCGCTACAGCCATGACGACCAGGAGCTGCTCAGCTTCGTCAACCTGAGTGACGAGTTTAACCAGGTGGCGGGCAGCGGTAATCCTGCTGATTTCATTCCCTTTCTGCGCTTCCTGCCGAGTGGGACCATGAAAACCTTCCAGGACATCAACGTGCGTTTCAACACCTTCGTAGAGAAGATTGTCAGAGATCACTACATTAACTATGACAAGGTTTGTAAAAAAAAAAAGGCAGTCTCACATTTTTTGTCGTCATACTAAAAATTCACTGTTTCATATCCTATGCTTTCTAGAATAACATCCGTGACATCACCGACTCACTCATAGATCACTGTGAGGAGAGGAAATTGGATGAAAACTCAAATATCCAGGTGTCTGACCAGAAGATTGTCAGCATTGTCAATGATCTCTTTGGAGCTGGTATGAGACAACTGACCCTTTTTGCATATTTTGACTCAGTTGTGTTACATAAATTGCATCATATATCTCAGACCCTATAATTAGGCTTTGTTTAGTCAGGCCCTGTGATGCTGAATAGCTCAAAATAAATGTTTTGTCTGTGTTGTCCCTCAGGTTTTGACACTGTTAGCACTGCACTATCTTGGGCAGTTGTGTATTTGGTTGCTCACCCTGATATCCAAGAGAAACTCTACCAGGAGCTACGTGAGTCTAACTGAATATTAACTTCACCCATTGTCTTTCACTGTAACCATCTTTTCATGAACAGACCTTGCCTGATTCCGTCTGATCTTTATGTTCCTTTTCTCTACCCCCATCCATTTGCATCTGCAGAGGAGAGAGTGGGAATGAATCGTACCCCCTGTTTCTCTGACAAGGCCAATCTACCCCTCCTCGAAGCCTTTATCCTGGAGATCTTCCGCCACTCCTCCTTCTTACCCTTCACTATACCACACTGGTAAATAACAGATACACCGGAATCCTACTTGGTTGCAATATCATGTGTCCAGCCAACAGAGGAGAAAGGTTTTGTAGATTATACATTCTACCTTCCACAGCATATTAATTACATTTAAATAAATACTAACTTCATACGCAATACTATTTTGAAAAAATAATGGTGACACAGCTTTTGGTTTTCTATCCAGCACTACTAAGGACACATCTCTCAATGGATATTTCATTCCCAAGAACACTTGTGTCTTCATAAACCAGTGGCAAGTCAACCATGACCCGTAAGTATCTCTGATCAAACATACCAGAGTACGTACAAAATGTACCAGATTAAGTCCCAAATTCCAGGAAGGAAGGAATGTGTTAGGTACTTCATTAAGTGTTCTGTATGTCCTGTCCTGTGTCTTTCAGAGCATTATGGAAAGATCCTTCCTCATTTTGTCCGGAGCGTTTCCTGAATGCTGATGGAATGGCGGTGAACAAGCTGGAGGCGGAGAAGGTGCTGGTATTTGGCCTGGGAAAACGGCGCTGCGTTGGCGAGTCTATCGCTCGTTCCGAGGTCTTCTTATTTTTGGCCATCCTGCTTCAGAAGCTGAACTTCCATGGGAAGGCTGGACACACCCTCGATATGACACCAGAGTATGGCCTCACCATGAAGCACAAGCGGTGCCAGCTGTGTGCTACTCTGCGGCTGTGAGCCCAGAGTAAAGAAAAGAGCACAGTGCGAGAAGAAAACACTTCAGTTTATAGAGCTCATGCCAATTCGAGAATTGAGCCTTGTCTAGCTGCTTCAGAAGGTCATATTCTGTTTTAGATCTGAATGGGCAAGTTAGTCCAAACACTGAACAGTTACCTTATAGATCTTCAACAAGTAATATTTCTTCTGATTGCAAAGCATTTTCATCTCAAAATGGAGAGATGTATTTTTATTATTAGGTGCAGTTGAGTTGATGTTGACTCCTGGCAACCATATAGGAAGCAAGTCTCCAGAATGCCTCCTGTTTGGGTCTTCCCCATGGCCTGCTCATTGTTGTGATGGAACAGAAGTGTAGGATGTGACAAGGAACATGTGCAATGTTGTCAGCATGGTTTGTATTTAGGCCTAATTGTCCTGCGGGGAAGCTGATCCTAGTAGAAGAACCCCTGCTGCAATATTACAGGGATAATTGGCATTTTCAATTAGCAACAATATTACACAATCTTCGTTGCCTAAATGACCTACGTAGTATACTGGGAGAGTAGCAGTGTAACTCCTTTGGAATCCCAAGATACTTATTTAAACATTGAAACTGAATAGCAGTATCATTCTGTCTGCATGGATTTTGTGTTCTGTGATCACTTATCTCTGAAACTGTTACATTGATACTTACATGATTTATATGACATCAGTAGTACCGAAGCATTATGAAACTGCTGAAGACTGTAGAAAGAAGAATGTTGGTTATCTGTAACAGAATGTTACAAAAAGAAGTTAAGAAGTTTATCATGAAAAATCACACCCAGGAATAATTCTTCTGAGTTTATTTCATCTGAATTAAAAACACAAGCTAATTTTACTCTAGATACTTGTATTGTAAAATGTAATGACTGTATAGTTATGTACTTATAGAGAACTATGATAGGTAACTATATAAACAGGTTACTGTTCAGGAAATACAGCTCTGGAAAAAATTAAGAGACCACTCCATATTTTTAAAAAGAAAATTTGCATTTTTAAATCCTGGCTTAATCCTGGTTCTGCTGGCAGAAGGCTACACGGCTGGTTACTTCCAAGCTCAGAACTTCTAAGACTGCAGTAAGAAGAACAAGATGAAACAAAAGACACTGGCAGCCAGGTAGAGGGCAGAAGCAACTTTCTAATGGCAGAGATGACCATCAACTTATCCAACAATGCCCCATGAATCGGAGGATTACATCAAGTGACCTTCAAAAGGAATGGGAAACATTAAGTGCAGGTGTGATGTGCACTGCTAGGACAGTTCGTATCAGACTCCTAGAAGCAGGACTGAAGACCCATAAAGCAAGGAAGAAACTTTCCATTAATGAAAAATAGAGAAGAACCAGGCTGCAGTTTGAAAAAATATATAAACATATTATTCAGATGCACACTCATAAATTGAGAAATGAGTGAAACAAAAAAAAAAACTGTGCTGTGGTCTCTTAATTTTTTCCAGGGCTGTATATATAACATTTTTTTTACTACAGCTCTGTGTTTCCAGGACGCTGAATGTTTTTAAAGTTTATTCTTAAATGGTATTATTTTCTGCTCATTTTTAACGTCAGTCATTTTAAAAAATCAGCAATAAAGGACTGACATGATTATTCTTTTCTGATTCCACATGTGTAAAGAGGCTAATTGTGTATAGTTGTTTCCTACGAGCACTGTCATTTTTTACGTAAGACAAAAAAAATGAATAAAACACTTATTCATTTTTTCTTGTGCCTGTTTTGTTTCCTTCAGTGCCATATTAAGTTCAAGCAACTGATTACATAACAGCACTTTGGTCGGATACCTCTATAGTAGGTGTGTTACAATCCAGCCCCCCTCCCCCCAATGTGAGTGGAGTGCAATTAGGTGACAGTCTATAAATAGATCATAATGTGTTTATGTCCTATAATGGACTGATATCCTGTCCAGTGTTCTCCTTTGCTGTGCCCTATGCTGCCTGGAATAGGCTCCAGTCCAATACCTACAATCATGTGCTGGATAAATGTTTGGGAAATTACATAAATGTGTCAATTACTGTAAAATATCACAATTAAAAATTGTAGCATTATGCCATAGTATTTTGCACATTGTGGTTTCAAAATTGCAGTGTCAATAACAATTAACACATTTGCATTCATTAAAAATGAGAGTACTAGAATGAATTTCTTTTTTGAATATAAATATACATACTTACCAAGTAGCGCCTAGACGGAGTGGGCAAAACGTTGTAAACACCCAATACATTCATATTAAGGATGTTTTAAACAAATGAGCATTTTCCTTGAATGCATATTGAAATACTGTTTTACTAATCTGAAACTGTGTGCAGTGCAATATTAGACCCTTCTTCAAGAAAAGTGACCAATTCTGTGATGGGATTAAACAGGTAGAAATCTACTTTAAGCTCTACACTCCTTAACTTCCAGGTATTCCATCTGAAAGCAAGCAGGTTTGGGCCTGGCCTGTATTTGGATGGGAGGACAACCTGGAAAAGGTTGCTGCTGGAAGAGGTGTTGGTGTGGCTGACAGGCCCATCCTGTGGTCCGTGTGGATCTCAGTGCCCCAGTGCAGTATGGGGACACTAAGCTGTAAAAATGGTGCTGTCTTTTGGATGAGATGTAAAACTAAGGTCATAAAAGATCCCTGGGCATCTTTTGAAAGAGTAGGGGTGGTACCCTGATGTCCTGGCAAAAATTGTCCACTGTGGCCCTATCAAATCCGGCTTCCTGATCATCCTCTTTATGTACCTGGTGAATTCTCTCCTGCCCCTTCACAATCTTAGCTACTGTACGGTGAGCATACTGGTGCAGCATGGCTGCCGTCACATCATCCAGGTGGATGCTACACAGTGGTGGTGGTTGAAGTGGCTCCCCATTGGTTTGGTAAAAGTGCTGCATAAATGTAAAGTTCAATCAATTCAATATTTAGGTCTGGTGTTTATGGGAGGCCAAGGAAGGTGTTTGACTTCATTCTGGTGTTTATGAAAGTACACTTGGGTTTGTGTAGCAGTGTGTATGGTGGCATTATCAACCCAGAATATGAGAATATCATAAGGGATGTATTCTAGTTCTATTAAACGGTCTCATACACTTTTATGCTGTTATATAATCCTGAGGTTTGGACTTAACCATATTAACCAACACTGTGTGTTGAAAGCATCCTCTGGAGTTCTCCAAATGTAAAATAGATATGGAAATCACCTCTCATTTCTGTGAATTGATATGTCCAAGTGTTTTTTTTTCCAGCTAAAACAGTAATTCAGAATTGCTTACTGATTCATTTATGTTAGAAAATGTTGTACAAAAAAAGAATCATAACATCAGAAAAGCTAGCTTAATCAAATCATGAGAACTGGGTTCTTACCACACAATACAGGAAAATAACATCCAGCCTTGCCAAGAGACCATAACCAAGGAAAAGTCAGTGAAGACAGAGTAGTTCACAGGAAGGATGACTGGAACAGATCAGATTTGAGATTTTTTTTGTAAACATTAAACTTAAAATGTACTTGAAAGGCACTTTACATTTAATCATTGTTATGATACAGTTGCTCATATTTCTCAGTATTATAAGCATCTACAAATTTCTCAACTCAAGAATTGCAATTGTGTGCATGGCTGAGCTATTCTACTTCTCCTGCCCTTTCAAGATCTATTAACTGTGTTTTCGGATCAGTGATCTACATATTTCTTATACAACCGAAAACATTCCATTCACTAAATGAAAACGTTAGAGCTCAAAATCGTTAAAAAACATTTGTGTTAATTTAAAATGATCATTGATATTTTAATTTATAATAGCTCTTAAAAGGAATTTTTAAAATATTATCTCAAAAAAGAACTATATCACACATACCAGCTCATATTAATCCATATGAATTTGGGGAAAAAAAGACTAAGAGAACTCATTTTCCGAATTCCCGCTTGCTTGGGGTTCCAGGCTTTGGGGGACTTACTCCAGATTATGTGTCTGCGAACTCGAAACAGATAACAAGCGGTTTCAGTACCAGCTAAACTGATTTTATTCACGACGTATCGTTTGTTGAGACTGGGCCACAGTGTTACTGATTTAGTTTTGTGGCCGTACTTTAATCGCGTCCGCCTGTATGTGCCAGTGATACGCGACTTTCCCTCTTTTGGAACTGTTAGTCGCTTTCTGATTTATAGTTTCTCACATCTAAATGCTTGTCAGACCGCATTAACAGCTAAAACAAACTAAATTCAACATAATGTAACTATCTGCAGCTGCGTTTACAGCCATTATTATAAAGTTAAAGAACTTTTGCATGTGGTGTTTCTGTGGTCCATTCCGAACCCCGGCACATTTCTAACGGAAACCTTCTCCTTTGAAACTCCAGCTGCACGCGCTCCCTTAACGCAATTGGTTCGCGGCTGAAGGAAGTGACGTCGAATATGTAAGGAAATCTCCCGGAAGTAAATTGCCGAATCGCGGCATCGAAAATCCTATACTTTGGACTTTGGAAAAAACACCTTAAACTAGCACATTTCCAAAACAATTGTTTATTGTTTCTTGAATTTTTGATAAGGTAGGTACTTTGGTTAACTGTTTATCTTCACGTTTTTAAAACGTCAGGCACATGTATCGTTAAACCATTCCTTCGGCACCGATACGGCGATAGTCATACTTGAAGACATTTTAGTTTATGGTCATCCGTTATTAGCGATGGTTAGCGACAGTTATATTCTCTGTATGCAATTTGCCCACGCACTACCCATGACCATAATAAATCGTTTTAACTAAATGTTAAGTGTTTCGCACTCGCAAACTATTGTGACTTACTAACAGGGTTAGAAAGTTGAGGATATCTCGGGGTTTCCGAGATTTGTACACATTGCTAACTTTTCTAGCCATTCATTATTTGTGTATATATGTAATTCCCTTATTATATCCTCGGCTCTTCAGATTAGAGACCTGAAAAATTCATGTAAAGAGATGACGGGTATTAATAGTAAGACATTGCCAGGATTGTAAACTTAAAAGCAGCTTGTGACACAACTGTATTGGAAATATATTTTTCTCTTTGCTTAGTAATATTACATCCATTCCTCTTCCAGTCACTTCTCAGGGTTTGAGGGGGAGGGGGGTGGTGGCTGCAGCCAATTATAGCAGGGCTGGGCACAAGTTTGGGATACCTCCTGGGCGGAATGTAATTTTATTGGATAAGATGCAGGCACACACATTAACAGGCAATTTAGAGACACCATTTAGCCTGACTATGTGTTTTTGGACTGTGGGAAGAAACCTGCTTGGCATGGAAAGAACATGCTAAATTGAGGCAAAATGTGAACCGTCCACCCTAGTGGTGTGCAGCAGCATTACGGTACACTGAGCTAATATTACACTTTTACTAGATACGAGTCCCACCTTGAGCTTCTAGTATTTTAGCCTTATGGAAACATGCAGATTTTGGATTCCTTGTGGTTGCAGTAAATTTTACATTTTCGCTTTAGTCATTTTGATTGACTTGACTGTCCTGATCAGCTACAGAGAGCATGGCTGCAGATTGGCTGGGAAGCCTGGTGTCGATCAACTGTGGGCCAACATTAGGTGTATCAGGGGGAGGTGTCTTCAGTGGACCAGTCCAGCCAAACCATCTCTCTCCGGCAGCCCTTCCACAATGGTATCAGGTGCCCAGTTCCAGAGGTCACATTCAGGTATGAGCCTTTGGTGATGCAGTAGCTAAAGCTGCTTTGTGCCAATGAGTGTATGATGATATAGCACATTTCTAAATAAAGCCATGAACATAAGGCAATATTTCCCAGTCCAGCCCTCAGGGAGCCACAGTCGGACCATGATTTTGCTCTGACCTGGACTGTCTGTGGGTCTCGAAGGACTGGATTGGGAATCACTGACATATAGAATCAGCAGGAAGGTTCTTTTCTCTCTATGGGCTATCGCAAAGCCATGTCCAATATACTGCTGTACTTAAAGTACCCCCACCCCATGGGCAGAATGATGCTTTAGTAATGCTAGTTTGATTGGTAAACGGCACAGCTTCGATTCAAGATTTTTATTTGTCACATCCATGAATGCAGTGGCACGCCAGCAGTGAAATGAAATTGCCACTGTGCCAGACTGGGCAACGAGCAAGGTAGAAAGATACCCAAGTTAAAAAATATAAGTTAGCGAAATAAGCATGAAAAATTCAGAAATATATATAGCTATAAGAAAATATGAGAACGTTAGAAAGTCCTGGCTGCAGTTATAGCTTATTTAATTTTTAATTGGTGGTTAATGATCCTAATCATCTGGGGTTAGAAGCTTCTGCTCAACCTTTCAGTCCCGGCCATAAGGGTCCTGGAGGCACCTGCCTTAGTACAGCCACTGGAACAGTTTATGATGACTCTACCTGAAACACGCATTACATCATGGTCTTCTTTATGAGCAGTAGTCTATAAGGAGCGTCACGTTTGTTTTAAGTGGGCTGATGTCACGGTGATGTAATGGGAAGCTGATCTGGTGTATGGCCTCACCTGCAGCGCCATGGACATCAAAGAGCTGAAGATCCTGGATATTCAAAATGGCACCAGGCCAGCAGCTAACCCTGCCCCTATTGGGCACAGCGGACGAAACGGGCGCGTTGGGAGCCAGGCGAGCAGCGCCCCGCTGCCGGTGCCACACAGAGGAGAACCGAGATCATCCGAGGGGCTGAATTCACCGCAGCAGTGTTCCAAAAGCTACGGAGAGCGCCACCTAGAGGGCCCTGGGCAGGCCAAAGTTTTTCGCCGAAGGCACAACTCCTGTAAGTTGGGTGGGGGGTGGGAGGGGTGGTGCAGGTTAAATGTGTGATGGGATGTTTCTCGTATCACAGAAGTAGAACACTTTCCACTCTCACAGCCTCTTTACCCCTGAAGTGTGATTCACACTAGAATGACAGTCATTCTTCTTGAGGGATCGATTCATTCCACCCGTATTTGATTAGGTGGAAAGTCATAAGGTGTTGAAACGAAGGAAACTGTATCACACGTGATGCGTGTAATCGGGGGTAAGGAGCCGTTTAGACTGCAACGACAGTGATGAGGAAATGCTCTCTGACAATTACATGAAACTGTAGAACAACAGGAAATAAATGTACAAATTGTCATTCAAAGTCCTGAAGCCTAAGTGGGTGTTTTGATTTATGTGCATAAAAAAATTTCAGTTTAATAAAACCTGAAACAGATTTCAGCATGGCAGGTAAATAGGGTTTCCAGTCTGTCTCTAGCTCCTCATCCATTCAAATTATTCTTGGCAAGAGGGACTGATAACATTTTGAGTAAATGGTGAGTGGTTGTTAGATGTGAGTTTTCAACAGCAAGGCGATATTCACTATTTTATTGGGTCGTAATATGCCAAGCCGATCCTGGGTGACAATGGAAAAAGTCGTGTTTGGTCAGAAATCCTTCGATTGAAGTCGTTCTCTGAATAGTCTGATGTATAAAGAACAGCAGTGTGTGTTTTTTTTTTCCATTTTAAAGTCCAACCAGCTTATTTACTTGTCAGTGTTATTTCCTTCGGGCAGTGATCACAGCAGAAACATTCTTTTTCCTCTTTCTGTGCGGGTTGGACTTGGGGGTTTTCCCTAAGGTTCATCCTCCCAAGCTCTCGCCTCTGTTATGTAATCCAGCGCCCTTTTCTGTCCTGGGTTTCTTCTCGCTTCAGGGAAGCAGCAGGGTTTAGCTGTGGTAGTTGATCTTGGCACAAGAAGCACTATGTTTTGCCTCATACTTGTGAAAAAAAACGAAATTACTTTGACTTTCTTAAAAACACTGAAACTTCATTTAAGTTTAGGTGTAATCACTGACTGCTTTTAGTGTCGTTTGGCTGGTTGATTACGGGTAGGCTCACTTCAAGTACCTCTGCTAAACTTGTTAAATACAATCTGTATCCTTCAACAGTCTTCAGCCTTTGGACTGAATTGAAACCTGTTTTTTTTTTACTAGCACTTGATTGTTGTCACTGGGAATTGGTATTTATACGTCGCTTTTTATGCTGGCTCTAGAGATGGGCAGGATTCTGCAATTTAGGGACGGCGTCCGTGTGGCTGGTACCTCTGGTGAGACGGGCCCATTTGCTTCTGTGCACGTTAGATTGGCCAGTCTGTCCTGCTTTCTCATGGTCTGGGGTTTAAAAGATGGCCCCTTGTCGCTGGAGCTCACGACACAGACGGGTGTGTCCTCTCTCTCTCTCTCATGCCCCTGTCTGCCGTGATTGTCTGCTTGTTGCCGCATCATTGAAGACGGACTCATGTTCCACTGTCTACCTTTTGTTTGCCTCGTGCCATGAGGAAGCTCGCCGCTGCTTCTGCCGCAGCCACATGTTGCCGCTCTGTGTTTCCTTTGAAGTGTCTGGACGGCAGCCCAGCCGCTCTCGGGTTACGGTGAGCGGGCCGGCTGGACCGAGCGCTGTGTCCTTGCAGAGCTATTATGCAGATGCGAGCCACACTCCTCAACTGGGCTGTGGTCTCTCGTGAAATTTTACGGGTTTTTGGGGGGACAGTTTCAGGATGAGGACACACACAGCTGTGACCCTGCCTGTCATGGATTTACTTCTCGTTCTTCATCGCGGTTCTTCACCCAGCTGCCCTTCACCACAGCATTTGAGCATCCCCAGTTCCTTCCAGGCCCATATGGAGATAAACCAACGCCTGGATGGGTGCTGGTCCATTTAGAGCCAGTGTGCGCTGTCCCCTGGCAGACTCGTGGACCTGCCCCTATGATGTTCTGGTGCAGGTGTGTTTCCCAGGTGTTCTGCCTCCTCTTGTATGTGGGGGGGGGGGGATCTACGTGCTTCTTCAGAAGCTGTTTCCAGCAGCCGATGCAGCAGTGGGGGGAGGCTGGTTGGTCACGGGGGTGGTGGCGACTCTTGGATTCCCATAGCGTGCTAAAAGACCGGGCCGGAGTTCCTCTTTGCAAAAGAGTGTGACTAAAATCAATAAACATTCCCCTGCCAAACCCCCTTCCCCCACCTCCCTATCCCAACTTAAAGAGGAGGTTATGCAAGTCCATGCTTACGTGCCTCAGTGCCCCCTGGTCTCCTTCCCCTTAGCACGCCACCCCTGCTGCTCTGCACAGGAAATACCCCCCCCCCGCCCGGCACCACAGGAAGTTGCTGTCCCAGTACACTTGGAAACGTGAGGCGATAGGAATTATGAAGTGCCCAGCCGACCCCCTTCGCAGCTCGTCCGCTGGCGGGCCACTGGCCAAGTTGCGGGGGCAGTGGGGGGGGGGTCGGGTGCTCACACGCGATGCCAGGCCCTTCGCCGCAATCATGTACTGGCTGCTGGGGAACGCGGCAAAAATGGCAGCACAGCCATCTGCTCGTTATTTTGGATGTGGTGGGGGCGGCTAACCCCCTCCACACCCCGCAGTTTTCTCCAGACCTCTGTCTCTCCCCACTTGGGAATAGATCACCCCTCTCCGTTGTCATGACGCAGCTTCTCTTTCTGATTCCGTAACCATGGTAGCGATGGCCATTCATTGTAATGCTTTTTAGCATTTAGCTTTAGCGGCCTACAGCTCCTCTCCCATAGGCTCCTTAACTCACTGGTTATTAGTTCTGCTACAGTGTTTTGGCTCATTTTTTATCCCGCCACACTGTTCACACCAGGCTTTCCCAAGATGCGATGTTTAATCATTAATATCTTTAAAGCGCAGTGCTAATACCTGGCATCCTTGCGGGCGCTCGTTAGCCACCCGGGTGCTCTCCATCCAGCTTGGCACCGTGAGGCATCCACCAGTCTGCCCTCCAGTGCTAGGGAACGCCCCCCCCCCCCCGCAGGTTGGTGATGAGGATGCGGCCGGGTGTGCTGGTTTAAATTCCGGCAGGTTCCTTGGCATGATGAGGGTTTGATTCCCTGCTAAAGGGGGTTTATGGGGCTGATCTGGGGGGGGG